ACCTCAATGTTCAAAGCAGCAATATTTACAATAGCCAAGACATGAAAGAAGCCTAAATGGCCATCGACGGATGAACAGATAGACGAGATGTGGTACATACATACACAATGTGGTACGTACATACACAATGGAATATTAGTCATAAAAAATGAAATAGTGCCATTTGCAGCAACATGGATGAACCTGGAGATTATCATACTAAGTGACTCAAAGAAATTATCATACAATATCACTCACAAGGGGAATCTAAAATATGATATAAATGAACGTATTTACAAAACAGAAATAGATTCACAAATACAGAAAACTTGGTGTTACCCAAAAGTGAAATGGATAAATTACAAGTTTGGGAGTAACAGATACACACTACTATAAAATAAACAACAAGGACCAACTGTATAGCACAGGGAACTATATTCAGTATCTTGTAATAACCTACAATGGAAAAGAATCTGAAAAAGAACACATACATATGTGTAACTTAATCACTTTGCTGTACACCTGAAACACACACAACACTGTAAATACTTTGACTTCTTTAAAATTAAGAAAAATTTAAAAAACAAAAAAGTGCCCAGGAGAAGGCATGCCCTGACCAATGCATTTAACTATTTACTAGGCAGGTGCACCCTGCAGTGTTTATTCTCTCAGTATCAAGGACCTACTATAACACGCTCAGCAACACAGCACAGCCTGGGGCTTGTTGTTGCTGCTGCTGTTCGGTCGCTCAGTCACGTCTGACACTCTCAACCCCATGGGCTGCAGCACGCCAGACCTCCCTGTCCTTCAGCATCTCCTGGAGCTGGCTCAAACCCATGTGCATCGAGTCGGTGATGCCATCCAACCATCTCGTCCTCTGTCGTCCCCTTCTCCTGCCTTCAGTCTTTCCCGGCATCAGGGTCTTTTCTAAGGAGGCAGCTCTTCGAATCAAGTACTCAAAGTACTGGAGCTACAGCGTCAGTCCTTCCAATGATATTCAGGACTGATCTCCTTTAGGAATGACTGGTTGGATCTCCTTGCAGTCCAAGGGCCTCTCAAGAGTCTTCTCCAACATCACCAAAAGCAGCAATTCTTCAATGCCCTGCCTTCTCTATGGTCCAACCCTCAAATCCATACATGACTACTAGAAAAACCATAGCTTTGACTATACGGACCTTTGTCAGCAAAGTAACTTCTCAGTTTTTTAATATGCTACAAAAATAAATATGTATTCAGTGTGTTTCTCATGTCTAACAATGAGAAAACAAGAATACTGACAGCTCACAGCAAGCATAGGACGCTGACCCACACCCAGTATTCATCCTCTATTTGGCTGCACACATGGCTGCCCAGCATAAAAGACTACATCTCTGAGGCTCCCCTACCCCTATCTTCTAAAATTAAGCTCTAAGAGGATGTACAGGCCTCGTCAGGTGGCAGACTCCTGCCATCTGCCTAAGAGCCAGTCAATGCACACTCTGTCTTCCTATCTTCCTCCTACATGCTGCCTGGAATGGCTGTGCACTTGGCCCAGGAGGATGAGGACCACCTCTCAGAGGCAGCAGTGTGGACACGGGGAAGGGCCTGGGTCCATAAGAACCTCACTGGACAGAACCAGACTTCCTGTGTGTGGAAGGAAAGTCCCTTCTATCTTGTTTAGCATCTGTTGCTCTGGATTTCAGGCTTCCCAGGTGGCTCAGCCTGCCAATGCAGGAGACACAGGTTCAATCCCTGGGTCAGGAAGATCTTCTGGAGGAGGAAGTGGCAACCTGATTTAGTATTCCTCCCTGGAGAACCCCATGGACAGAGAAACCTGGTGGGCAACAGTCCATGGGGTCGCAAAGAGTTGGACACGACTCAGCAACTAAACAATAACAACAACTCTGGATTTCCTGAACCTGACCCAAACTAACAGAGCTGGATAGCTGCAAACAGAGAATGAGGCACAGAGTGGTGAGAAATGAGGCTAGAAAACGGACTGTGGAGAGGCCCTGAAGGCAAAGCAAAGGAGCATGGACTGAAGCCCAAAGGCAGCAAGAGTCACTGGAAAAAGTAGGCAGGGGGTGACGCAGTCAGATGTGAATACTCCGCACTCATCCTGGAGGCGATGTATCAACTGTGTTCCCCCACCGAGATTTCAAACTCCCTAAGGAAACTCTGGAATATAACATGGCTTCCTGCAGCAGGCAGGCATACACTGCTGGTTTCCCTAGTCATTTCGCATTGTAAAGAAACTGGTCCTTCATGCACTGAAATGAATGGAAGTAACTGGCATGCTGACAGGTACTTCAGTTTAGTAAGCACAAGCCCATCTCCAAAAGACTCAGGGACCATTCTCAAAATTGAGAGTGTGGGTGAATCAGAAGTTCTGCAGCCTTGTGAGAATTTACAGCCTGGGTTCTAAGAAGGTCAGGGAATCATAAGCCTTATAAGTGGTTTAAGTCGACTGTGGAATAGTAAGGCACCAAGGAGAAAAACAGAGGGAAATGCAAATCCTTTTGGAAGGAAGGCACCTTCATAAACCTAGAGACAGTCCTATACAAAATCTGTAATGTACAGTGTCCAGCACACAAAGAAGCTAGACTCCTCGATTAAGGAAACAGAAACAACAAATCCACAAAGGCTTCAGATACTAAAAAGATGTATATCTGTGTATGTTATACATATATATTCACACACATACACATACATTTTTTATTCATTCAGTGAAAGTTTAATGGACATTTATTGCTGGTGAGGCAGTAACTATATAAAAATAAGAGTTTCTCAGGAGTTTATGGTGTATCAAGAGGACAATGAGAATACCATTCATTAAATGCTATGAAAAAGCTAAACTTAAGTGTGTTATGGGACCATCCACACTGAGTGCCTAATCCACACTGGGGTGGGGAACAGGGTGGTAAGAGGCTTCCTAGAGATGATACTGGAACTGAGTTTAGAGATATGAGTAGAAACTAGTCGGGAGTTGGGAACTGGAAAGAGCTGGTGTGAATACTAGGTACTAGCAGTGTAGAAGTTCAAGGAGGGTTAAGGAACTTCAAGAAGTCCTGCCGGACTCACACAGTGGATCTCAGATTGCTTTACAGCAGAATACCTAGGGGATCCATTCTCCTATCAAAGCTTCCCATCCTAAAGCTGCAGAGTATTTGAGGAAACAGAGCTTCAATTTAAGGCCATGGTTAATTTGTTTCAGAAGCTAAAGGCAGGCAGGCCTGACAAGCACTCTATGCATCACTAGTAAACACTGTCAGGATGTGGATTCAGCTTCTGAGGATGGATCCCTCAAAAGCTGTGGGATCAGCAGGGGTAGGACCTCAGCAGCTGTGCTGGGAGCTCCATGACCCTGCTCCAAGAAAAACTTGATTAGAGCAGGGGGAGAAATTTGACCAACCAGATTCATTCTCCTGAAACTGAATTTACAGCTGAGACATAATCTGTACAGGAGATGGGGGCTGAAGCACAAAGATGGCACTGCTCAGGAGAAAGGGACCAAACGCTGCTGAATAGGTCTCTCCAGCTATGCTGGCTTCCACCCTGCCCAAGACCTAGTAGAGTCTATATTAAAAAAAAAAAAAAGAAACTTCTGTATGGGGATTTCCCTGGTGGTTCAGTGGCTAAGACTCTGTGCTCCCAATGCGGGGCTCGAGTTCAATCCCTGGTCAGGGACTTGGATCCTGCATGCTGCAACTAAGACCCAGCATAGCCAAATAAATAAACAAAAACCTTCTGTATGTTAGTCAGGATCCAAGGTTGCTTGCTCCTTGGAAAGTTATGATGAGCCCAGACAGCGTATTAAAAAGCAGAGACATCACTTTGCCGACCAAGGTCCGTATAGTCAAAGCTATGGTTTTTCCAGCAGTCACGTACGGATGTGAGGACTGGACCATAAAGAAGGCTGAGTGCCAATGAATTGATGCTTTTGAATTGTGGTGCTGGAGAAGACTCTTAAGAATCCCTTGCACTGCAAGGAGATCAAACCAATCAATCTTAAAGGACATCAACCCTGAATATTCTTGATGCTGAAGCTCCAATAGTTTGGCCACCTCACCGAAGAGCCAACTCACTGGTAAAGATCCTGATGCTGGGAAAGACTGAAGCCAAAAGGCATCTTGCAGGGAGGGAGCCAAGGGGATAAACATCTGGCCTCACTTTCTTCTCTCTCTCTCATCTTCTACCAGGACCTCACTGGTCAAATTCAATGGAAAGGCCTGGATACACAAGTGGAGAGTTATACTGAAGATAGCCAGCACAAAGAGGCAATTCCCTAGCTCATGTACTTCCAAAGTCTAAACCAGAACCTCAAGACTAGAGGCTCAAATTGGCAGCTCAAATTGCCAACTCTTCCTGCTCCTCAGTGTGCTGACCTGCATACAGGGTCCCAGCCTTTGCAGGGTGGAGACTGCAGCAGCTGCCACTGTAACCTCAGCACCAGGTGGGTCTCACTCTTCAAAGCCTGCGCCAGCTTTAGAGGAAAACCTCTGATTGGCCCCATGCCCACCCCTGAACCGATCCCTCTGTCTTAAGGGGCAGGATACTCATGAAGGGCCAGGTGCAAGTCACCACTGTGAATCTGAGGTTTGTTAGTAAATTACAGTCTCTTTATTGTAAATTCCCTCCTTTTTCCTTGGGTAGCCAGAACTGAAGTCTCTTATTTGGAATCAAAAGAACCTTAGTGCAGGCTGAAAGCAGCCATGATCCAAAGGAGGAGAAGGAGAAAGCCAGCCTCAATATAACTTCTCAGGAATAGCATCCTTATTACTGCTCAAAGTAAGAATTTTAATGATGGATATCTCCACATACCCAAAATGGATTCTGACTGTAACATAAAGTATAAAATGTGCATTATACTCTATACCCTAGATGAGAAACCCAAAATATCAACAAAAAACTGTTACTCACTACTCCTGATTTTAGGAGAAAACTACATTTTAGGAATTTATGATTTTCACACACAAAATATTTACAAGGTTTTAAGTAAGCCATAATTTCAGTTACCTTTTTTGTCAAGTCTCAACACTCACCTGGAGTCAACCTTCCTCTCCATTCTCTGCTTACTCTTTTTTTGCTGAAAATTCAACCCGTGGCTTGATGCACTTTTCAGTAAGCAGATTCTTATGAATCAAAAATTAGTGATCTGTGCATGAAATACTAGGAAAATTAGAAAATAAGCATTAATTCTCAGAAAAAATGATGGGAAGAAACGAGAGAGGAAGAGTTGCAATAGTCTACTTGGTTCAGCATGAGCCTTCCCAGATGGCCCAGTGGTAAAGAATCCGCCTGTCAATGCAGGAGACATGGGTTGCATCCTGAGGTTGGGAAGATCCCCTGGAGAAGAAAATGGCAACTCACTCCAGTATTCTGGCCTGGAAAATTCCATGGACAGAGGAGCCTGTCTAGCTACAGTCTATGGAGTCACAAAGAATCAGATGCAACTGAGGGCGTGCGCAGACACATACATTTGGTTCAACAGTGAACATTTGTTATTTAACGTAAACACTATTAACAACAAATTACCACATACCCACGTTGATGGGATGAGGAAAGAAAAACTGAGCCAAGTACTTATTTCCCATGAATAATGGTCAATACAAGGTGTAAATTTAACAAATCAAAAAATATCACCTATAAGGTTCTTTACTTCCAATTTACAAGTAATATCAGGACGAACAGTTAGAAGAATGGAAACTAGAACTGCAGCCTGGAGACTATTTTCTAATATAAGCTTTCAATATTAATTATCTTTTGGCTCTGCCAGGCGGCACATGGGATCGTAGTTCCTGGGCCAGGGAGGACAGAACCTGCACCGCTGAAATTGGAAACTGATGATCTTAACTGCCAGGAAATAATAATTGGGACTGCCAGGAAAGTCCCAATACTAATTTTTTAATACACGTTAATTTGAAAAATGCAAATCTAAGAGTAACTTAAAGAAGTCTCTACAGTATTCTGCAGCTTCTAACAATAACTGAGAAATGAGTGATCTTGCTAAAGAAAAGCAAGTAAATACCTAAATTTATATGCTAAGTTGCAGAATAAATTTCAACTACTTCTTCCAGGAAGGCTTCCATGGCACTTAGCTGAGTACCATGCCACCTAGAAAGTCTAGATTAGAGTCAAAAATAGCATTCATGGAGCGGGACTCTGTGTCAGGTACGGTATCAATACTGAGCACTTTTCATTAACTAGTTGCTTTAACACAACCACCTCAACAGATGGTAACCATCCTCATTTTATAGATGAAGGGCTCACGTCATCACTAAGTGGTACAGCTGGGGCTGGTAGGCAGGGACCTAACACCATTCGCTCAACAAACATTTACTATAATCCAGAGGTTAACAATAAACCTGAACTGCCTCCCATCAAATAAAAACTTCCCTGGTGGTCCAGTGGTTAAGAATCGGCGTCCCAACACAGAGGGCCTAGATTCCATTCCTGGTCAGGGAACTAAGATCCCACATGCCACCTGGTAAACAGAGAAAGCTCGCGCGCTGCAACGAAGACTCAGTGCAAACAAAAATAAATAAGTAAATTAATTTTAATTAAAAAAAATAAAAAGCAAGCACTAATCTCCCACTCCGGTGTTCGCCCAATTGGCCCTCGGGGCTCTGGTGTGGCCTCTGCAAACCCTCGCTGTTCACTCGGCCACAGGGAATTCGAATTCGCGCGCGCCAACGAGCCCTACACGGACGCGGCACACGCACCCGCCCGGGCGCACCTGACGCGCGGGGAGGACGCAGGGCCAGAAGAGCCGACCCCGGGCGGCGTCCTGCTAGCCCTTCCCACTCGCCTACCCTCTCCCACCTCAGCCCCGCGGGGAGGCAGCATCACCTGCACTTCCAGAGGAGGAGGAAGCGGACGCGCCCACAACGTTGTCACCGACCGGGCTCGGAGTGACGTGCGCTCGCCTCTGGGCTCCGGCCGCAGAGGCCGAGCCCTTCCGCCTCAGACAAGTCTCGGGAGGCACGGTCCCAACTCCTCAGGCCGGCGCGGCCCGTGCCCGCCACCTCCTCGCTTCCCGCGCCTCAGGACGCAAGTCTCGCGCCGGCCCCGCCCCCCGTCTCCACGGCAACGCTGCGTGCGAGAGGGACGCCCCGCCCGGGACCGGGAGTTCGCGCAGCCTCAGTGCGACAGGGGGCACGCCCACCCCCACCCGCCAACGCCGCCTCGCAGCGTCCGGAACGTGAGTTAGCCGTGAGGTGCGTGGAGAGACGCACCTGCCTGGGGCGGCCCCGCCGAGGGGTCGGTACCTCTGTGGCTTGCTCGCTTCTTCTCTCAGAACTCAACTTCCTATCGCTATTGGACAGGAGCGCTGGGAGCTGTTTCCTTTGCTTTACGATATCGATGTCGGTTTGAACCTGTTTGGAGTGGATTCACGAGTTACACTTCGCGGGGCAGGCACTAGACGAGCGAGGCGACCGAGGTCGCCCTTCAGCCACCTCCGGCCTCGCGCGTGATGGGCCGCTCTGGGCTCTCCGCGCTTCCCGGGGAACAGTGAGCCGGCACCGAAGCGCGCACGTGCGTGCAGTGGGGAGATTGTCAGCGAGGACTGCGTGGGTGAGGGCACGTGGTTTCGCAGCCGAAGAATTGAGATTATCCCAGGTTGATATCGTCTCTTAACCATTACTTTTAAAACGTAATTAACAAGCATTAATGATTACTATTGCATAAACAGTCGTTAATTTTAAAATTTAGGCCCACTCATCATCTTTTTAACATGGGGATAGGGGACGCTAGGTAGGCCATTATTTTTTCATTGAAGAATAGTTTATTTACAGTGTTAACAGTTTCAGGTGTACAGCGAAATGATTCAGATATATATTTTCAGATACTTTTTCATTATAGGTCATTAAGGTAGGGCATTTCTGTATCCTCGCCTTCTGTGTTTTGTAAAACATTTAAAGCCCCTGAGATTTCTGGTGGAGAGCGAAAAACAAAGTCTAGCATTATGAATATAAATGCTTGAGACATTTTACGTTAAAAACATGAGGAAAAATAAGTTGGGTGCTTTGGGATTAGAATCACAGGTAATTTGCATTTTTGCCCTATTTTCTACTTATGTCAGTTTTTGTAATTAAAAGTGTTTAAAAAGGAGAAGGTCCACTTTAGCAGGACACGGGACAATCTTTTATCTGATGTGGCCAAGTACTTTTTAAAATAATTTAGTGACTTTCAAAAGTCTTAACATGGTAACTAGTATTTACTTACTGTAAAGTTACTTTTATAAGTATGAATATTTATGTAAATAATGTTTATGCAAATTACAATAATCCAGGAAGATAAATCAGTAAGCATGCTTTTTATTTTATTTTTTTAGTAAGCATGCTTTTTAAATGATTTACTGTCTTGTCATGTGCATTTACCACCGTTGGTTTTGACTGATTTATGAAGGAATTAAAGCCATTTCTATTTGAATTATAATAAAGTAATTAGTCCTCTTGGGAAACATTAATCAGAATAACAAGAGATAGTGCACCAGCACTTGGTGGTTGTCAGACTCTTTTAAGTACTTTGAATATATAAAATCAAAGATGTAAGGTGCCAGGAAGGGTTTAGGCCCTGCAAATAACTTGCTGTATGGTCTTCCAGAAGTCCCTTAACAATTCCTTTGTAGTTCCTTGAGTACTACAAAATCACTGCAGATGGTGACTGCAGCCATGAAATAAAAAGACGCTTACTTCTTGAAAGAAAAGCTATGGCCAACCTAGACAACATATTAAAAAGCAGAGACATTACTTGGCCCACAAAGGTCTGTCCAGTCAACGCTATGGTTTTTCCAGTAGTCATGTATGGATGCGAGTTGGACTATAAAGCTGAGTGCCGAAGAATTGATGTTTTTGAACTGTGGTGGTGGAGAAGACTGTCGCGAGTCCCTTGGACTGCAAGGAGATCCAACCAGTCCATCCTAAAGGAAATCAGTCCTGAATGTTCATTGGAAGGACTGATGTTGAAGCTGAAACTCCAATACTTTGGCCACCTGCTGCAGAGAGCTGACTCATTTGAAAAGAACCTGATGCTGGGAAGGATTGAAGGAGAGAGGAGAAGGGGACAACAGATGATGAAATGGTTGAATGGCATCACCGACTCAATGGACATGAGTTTGAGTAGGCTCCGGGAGTTGGTGATGGACAGGGAGGCCTGGCATGCTGCAGTCCATGGGGTCACAAAGAGTCGGACACAACTGAGTGACTGAACTGAACTGAATCCTTGAGTACATGATGCCACAGCTGTGAAACTGTTCAAATCCTATTTTCTTGGAACTAGGGAGTACCCTTGGAGACAGAAAAGCTGATTAGAAAAAAGCCCATTTAGAAAGGTGGAGAGCAGTGGAAATGTAATCCCAACTTTATGAGTTGAGGCTGCTCTCAAAATTTCTAGGTTTCTAATTTCCATTTGCTTCTCTGCTGTTCTTGAACTGCTCATTTCCCCAATGGACTGAAACTTGGGGAGTCCCCTGATGCCAAACTGTGAAACAAGAATTTGAACCTAAACCAAGATCTTACGAATAATTTATAAGTAGAATAAATCACTTATCTCTTTCTTACTCTCTCAAAGGGATTTCCCATACTGATACTTGAAAATTCATTTTAGTTGCAAAGGAGGCATTTAGAATTACAAATTATCATTCCTGCCAAAGAGAATAACATTCAAAAGCTACAATGAAACAAAGATTTGCAAGCATCTAGCTTTACATGACAGGTGAAAGCAGCTCACAGGTGGCTCTCCTTTAGTAAATGATTGCCTTTATTCTTAGGTAATAATTGTCTCCTTTAGTAAGGATAAATGAAGGCTCTGAGAGGTAAAAAGTAAATCGAACAAGATTCTACCAGACATTAAAGAAGAGCCCGGGGGAAGAGTACAATCTCACTAGGATAGATCAGAGGACCAGGCCTCTAGCATAATAGCTACCATGTCTGGAGCACATTTCATACATGACTTGTAATTAAAAACATGCCTGCAAATTCTGTGACACTTCCTATACAAAGGTGCAGTCTAAGTCCTCTTCCCTTAGATACAGGCCTGGCTTAGTGACTTCTACCTAAGGGC